CGACCCATAGTGACCCTGTACAGGGTTTCCGAGGGTGTAAATCTTTACGGGAGTAGAAAGCCTCATCTTTCTCCCGCAGAACGGCTGGTAGTTTCGAACCGCTGACCTAAGGTTTGCAGCCCGATTCGTAACCACTACGCTACCAGAGCTCCTTAAACTATCACATAATTCACAATAAATAATTTTAAAAAAATAAAAGAAAGAAAGAAAAGAAAAGCTTTACATGCTAAAAGAAACATTCTGGAGACTTTCAGCAAGGTGGCGAACTAAGCAGGCACCCTACACGGACCCTCTACAACAAAGATACAAGAGACCAAATGAAACAGACACAGATGAAAATCCTGGAGCCTTGAACTTCACAGGAAAGGTTAGAGAAGTGTATTCAGTGCTCACTGGGAGGAGAAACTGTGTAGAGATGGCAAGAGAGGGAAACAGGTGAACAGCCAACCTGATGAGCACATCCATCTTGTGGAAAGCTTTGACAGCAGAAGGTGGCCTGGCATAGCAGATCACGTAGGTGACAGGAAGCATGTGATTTCTTCTTTTTCCTCCTGCTCCCCTGGTGATCAGATGTGTGGCCAGCTCCTACCCTCCTCCATTCCCAGCTCAGACCCTACTCTCCAGGAGTTCAAAGCCATGCGGTTGGAAGCCACACTGGAGTGACATAGGGGTATACTGCAGTCCTTTGGTGGGCCACTTTGGTGCCTGGATTTGGGTAGACTTGGCCTCAAACCTATAGATCCTGCAGAGCCACCACACCAGCATTTAACCAGGATAATATCATATAGACCAGTAAAATTTCTTATTTCCAGGTTTTTAATCATTTTTCTTAACACTCTCAATGAAAGATTTAATGGAAACTGTTGAGGTAGTACTAAGATATGGTAAAATAAATAAATAAGGTAAAAACCGTGAAAGAACTACAGAAAATGGAATACTGTTCAAATAAGAACCAACAGCATCATTCTGTGTAGTATGTGAAGTGGATCTATGGGATATATATAGGGTTAGTTTGCAGACACGTATTCGAAATTATGAAATTTGAGGGGGCTTCACAGATCCTGAGCCTGAAAAGAGGACACAAGAGGTTGTAGAAAAAATACTGTAAACTCTAGCACAAAGAAATGGGAGACCACATTCAGAAAGTGTACACTATGGACTATGAACACAATGAAATCAGTGTGGGAAATAAGCCTATTATATTTTTAATTAATGTATAATTAGGAGTCCTGGTGTGATGTTGTGGGCTAATGCGTCAGACTGCAAAGTCGTTTGAACCTGCAAGGTTGGTGGTTCAAGCTCACCAGCTACTCCTTGGAAACCCTATACAGGCTTGCTATGGGTCGGAATCGACTCGACGGCACTTAACAACAACATGTATAATTAAATACTTTCCTCAACAACAGCAATGATAAAAAGCATTTTGCAACATTAATAAATATAACCTTCAGGATAAACACATTGTCAGTTTATTCTGCCAAAGCTCTACCATTAATGATGACGTTAATCACTCTATTATTATCTAGGGAATTGTCTAAACTTATTGTTACTATTTGTGTGAATATCGTTGTGTCTCATCATCTGCATACCATTCTTCCTATTTCAAAGGAATATGCCCTGAAACTAATAAACCAAACCCACTGCCATTGAGTTCATTCCAAATTACAGTAACCCAATAAGGCAGAATGGGGTACTGGTGTGGCATTGTAGGATAAGCACTCAACCCAAGGTCGGTTTGAACTGCAAGGTCAGTGGTTCAAACCTACCAGTCACTCTTTGGAAACCCTAAACAAAGTTGTTAAGAGTCAGAACTGACTAGATGGCACTTAACAACAACAACAATAAGAGAAAATAGAACTACTCCTTAAGTTACCTGAGGCTATAAACCTTTACAGGAGTTGATACCCCATCTTCCTCCTGTGGAGCAGCTGATGTGTTTGAATAGCCAACCTTGCAGTTACCAGGCCAACACTTAACACACTGTGCTACCAGGGTTCCTAGGATGCCCATGTGGTTGTTGTTGTTGTCGTATGCCGTCGAGTCAGTTCCAACTCGTTGCACCACTGTACAGCATTTCTCAGAGCATCTGGTGGGTTTGAACTGACTACCTTTTGACCAGCCATTCAGTGCTTATCCTACAGCACCACACCAGGGCTCAATATGCACATAGCTCTTCCAAAAGTAATACAACATCAAAAAGGTACAAGCTAAACAAAAATGGAGATAAATGTGTCAGATTATATATTAACACGTTTTTGTTGTTATCTGCTGTTGTGTTGACTCTGACACCTGGTGGCCCCCATGTGTTGTAGAATAGAACTGTTCCATGGGGTTTCCTTGGCTGTAATCTTAATGGAAGCAGATCATCAGACCTTTACTCCTACAGTACTGGTGGGTGAGTTCCAACCTCCAAACTCTAAATAAACAGTTACAAGTAATTTGTGCCACCTTTCATTGTTGTTGATTCGGTTCCAACTCATTGCTACCCTGTATAGGGTTTCCATGTGATTCACAGTCCAGTGTTTATCTTATGGAACTCCCGCACTAGGGAACTTATATTAACATGTGTCATTGTTGTTGTTGTTGTTGTTGTTGTATGCCATCCAGTCAATCTACTCATGTGAACTTTATAGGACCGAGTACAAATGCACCCATAGGGTTTTCTAGGCTTTCATCTTTATAGATTGTCTGGTCTCTTCTTCTGCAGAACTGCTGATGGATTCCAACCACAGATCTTTCAGATGGGGACGAGGACTAAAGCACTGTTCCATAAGGGAGTCTTATATTAGCATATAGAAATCATTGTTGTTGTTGTTATGTGCCGTGGAGTCAGTTCTGACTCATAGAGACCCTGTACAGACAGGGTCTTTGAGGCTGTAAATTTTTATGGGAGCAGAAAGCCTCATCTTTCTCCCGCGGAACAGCTGGTAGTTTTGAACTGCTGATCTTGTGGTTCGCAGCCCGATTTGAAACCACTATGCTACCAGAGCATGTACTTAAAGTTCAACAAGGGCCCCTATGAACACATTTCCCATGACATTACTGGAGGAGTGAACCTTTTTAATACATTTGTGAGTGCTTCACATACACTTTCCCACAAATTGCAAAAAGTTCCATGCCCTCCTTTAAGAAACATTATGGTTTATAGGTTTATATCAGTCAGAGTCCAGTAAAGAAACAGAAAGCATATCAGTCAATTGAAAAGATAAATGTTTAATATAAAAAAAAGTGTCAATTAACAGCACAATATGCATTATTCTTCAGGGCACAAAGACCATTCTCCAAGACAGACTATATCCTAAGGTACAAAGCAAGTCCCAACAAGTTTTAAAAGAATAAAATCATAAAAGTATCTTATCCTACCACAATAGAATGAAACTAGCATTTAATAGAAAGAAAACCAGAATATATAAATATGAGGGAGTTTAACAGCACACCATTAAATAACCAATGTTGTTGTCAAGTGCTGTCGAGTGATTTTTTAAAATATGCTTAGT